AGAACTCCACACTTGCTGGAGGCGTTGCAGCTGGAACAGCAGCTGAGTTCATGCTGATGCCCTATGGCTGTCTTATTGTAGGTTTCTGCTGTGGCGTCATCTCCACACTTGGATATATCTTTCTCACGGTATGATATTTTTTTTCTTTTAATGCTTTCCTTCCAACTGCTGTCAGACTTTACACCATGGTCACTGAAGATGACCACACACACACACACACACACACACACACACACACACACACACACACACACTGCATACACAATTGTAACTTTATCCCTGACAAGTGCATTTATTCCTACTATAACAAAGCATTTTATTCTATTTTGTATAGTATGTTATTCTATTTTATCTTATCCTATTATATTTTGTTTTTCTTAAGTTTTGCTCTTTCTGCCATGACCCCAAAATTTCTCATGTGTGCAACAAATAAGGAGGGTAGACCGGGGTTGTATTTCACACTTTTGACCCTTGCATGAATTTCTGATCATTATAATGTTGTTCAACAACCCTTTTATCACTAAAGCAAAGCCTAGGATGCTGGCTCAAAATAGTTGTTTGCAATTAATTATAACAAAAATTAATTAATTAATTATCAACGATCTGACACTTTGTGACCCCACATGTACCCCAATGTACAGAGACATCAGTATTTCTATATATAAACAGCACCCAATGCCCCTTGTATTTAAAGCATGAATTTGAGGAAGTGATACGTTTTGCAAATTATTCTACATATGAGCAATAAAACTAAGGAAGTTGTGGTGCTTTAGTAATGTAGCTTTTGCTAAATGCACAAAAATAACAGAAAACAGATTCCACATTCCATTACTGTATTTTGAACTGTAATTTTAAAAAGAACTTCTGAACTTTTAAAATTACTGATATGATTTTAAAAGTTCAAAAGTTCTTTTTATCAGTGATGACAAATGTATACTCGTGGACTGCCAGGGGTATCAGTTCTGAAGACAGCATATCTAAAACATACTCTCTTGCACTGGCTATTGGTGTATGGCTTAACACAAACATTCTGCTAATATAGCAACAAAAACAAAAAACAAAAAAACAAAAAACAAAAAAATAAAAAAAACAACACTGCCTTTACATGTCTAGCTGTAAAAACTATTTTAATACTTGGGGGCTTGGGTGTCACACATGTGAAAGGTTAATCAGGGGGCTTGAATACCTTGGTAGAAAGAAACAGCTGAAAACAGTCAAAGCAAGACAGGGGAAGTCAAACTCGACACAAGATACAGAAGACACCGCCCTGAACTCTTTTATACCTTCCCAAACAAAGAACATCCACAACTCTCACAGGGGGGCTATATCTCCTCACTCACAGAGAGAATTATGACCTTGTTTTTTGCTTAGCCGTCACCTCCCTAAGAGCAGGACATCTGAATGTCTTCAACTTTACAACAGGGCCCCTACCTAAACATTTACATCCCTCTAGAAGCAGGAGGACTGTCAGTATCTATATCTCTTTATATATATTGTTGCCTCGGGATCTTATTTTCAGGAACTATAATATTAGTTTTCACTCATATGCTGACGACACTCAGATCAATCTTCAGCTAAAGAGAAACAGTTCTGCTTCACTAGAACTTTTATTTCAGTGTCTCGTGATCGTTTTTGGTTGT